TTTTTTTTTTTGAAGCCCCTCTGCTGACTATTTTCTCCCCAGAGGTTTTAATTCAGCGGAGGTTTTGATGCCACACATGGCAGCCATATTTAGGAGACACAGCAAATGTTTTTTTTCCAGCAGATTAAAGCAGGAGCAGTCTGACACGGTAAGGCCAGGATCTGTGTTCACAAAGCTTCCTGATGCTAAAGGTTGTTCCTAGTCACAAAAATCATGGTAAAGATAAAAGCTATTCACAAAGGCATTCCTCTTCTATTCCAACTCTTCCAACAGGAGCTACACTAAACCTTGCCATCACTGAAAAAGTACAGATGGTGTGATGAAAAGTAACGGCTACCAAACAGTCAGAAAAATCCAACCAGCACCAAAATAGACAGAAAGAACGGTACAAATAGCAAAAACGAGCATTTCCATAAGAAGCTGGCTACATTTTGCTGTAATGTAGGCTCAAAGCATCTTTCATTCATCTATGTCACTCAAATTCTTTGTGATAAAGAAATTGGAAACTAAACAGAAGACGAGAATCACGGTGCACCACTTTCTCAAGAGTAAATTAAGTTAAGTAAGTATCAAGTAAACGATTGGACTGAGGCTCTTTGGCGTGACAAGAGGGTTGCCCACGGCTAAAATAAAGCTGTTTGATCTGATCACCTTTATAACATCTGCAAAAGGATTCCTCAGCCAATACAATCATTAGACGTGGTCTATTTTTACACCGTATTAAACATTGTTCAGCAATCATGCTGGACGTTAAAGAGGACGAGAATCATGCAATCAGATTAGAATTCTTTTAGGATTCAAGCTAAATAAGGTGGTGCTGTTAGCCTGCGCTTCAAACTTGATTCAAACAGACATTTTTTTTGGTAGGCTGGTGACAGTCTGGCTCTTCCAAAGAACACAGGTCAGCTGCAGAGTTTCTGTGTATGCTGACAAAAAGTAAATAGAAGGGTGTGTTCAAGAATAGTCTCCTTAGAAAGACCTCAGAGAGGTCTTACGTTAGCCTAGAAAGTACCAACAACAGGAATTTCAGCTTATAAGTGATTTAGGAAGTTTTTTATAGCAACTCTGAGCAAAGAAGGGACTAAAAATGTTACATCCATTAGGACGTGAAGCTAACATTGTTGCTAAATATGATATATTTAAATAAGTAAATAATGGAAAAAAATATCTTAGTCTTGGACATAATGATGAATCACTCGCTGATATTTGCTTCTATACATTAACTCAAATTTCCAGGAGAAAATCAGCTTTTACCAGCACACTGAAGTCCACTGCCTGTAAAAGCTTTTTTAAGTCTAAGATGTGAAAATTAAATGCACCATGAGTGCTGTGCAGCTGTCTATGATCACTCTGCTGGTTAAATCTGGGCAGACCTGTTACATTTTTCCTGCTGCCAAATATTTCACTGACACTTTAACATTACCGTGTAGGCGAATATGAGCGAATCTTTAATGGGATCGACCACAGATTTTTATCGCTGTTCACCATTTCCTCTTTGTTTTTTTAAGTGCCAGCGATGACACCAATATAAATGCAGCGTCGTGTTGTGGCTAGTTTCTACAGCTTTGCAACCACTGCTATTATGGTGGCATGTTTAACCAATTAGTCCAATAACCACACTATAAAATGTTAGACTGCACAAGTAGATGATAAAGTCATCTGTCACTCATCCTTCTCCGACTCCACTTTCTAACACATTTTTTGCCATTAATAAATAGAAGTCATTAGAAAATAATCTGCATCTGTCTTTAGTGGAACAACCGACCTGCAAATCCTGTGTCAGGATTCTTTTTCTTCTTTTTCCTCTCCCACCTCTCTGCATCGTCAGCAGTGATGTCCAGCAGTTTCACTCTGTTATAGTCCTCCCCACGAGCAGCACACTCCTGAATCAGAAAACGATAATTAATAATCAGCTCAAACTGGGAAAAATTCAGCTGCACCACCACAAAACCTTTAGATATTTTGATTCTAGTAAATCCAGCATAAAACGGCCACAGTACTTTTGGGTAATGAGATAACACGTTATGTTGTGCTATATAGAAGAGAAACAGAATTTTCTGACAATGCCTGGAGGTGATTCACTTTACACTTTGGAGCAACTGCACTAATGATGATATGAGATTGACAAGGATGCAGTTAATACAGCTGTCGTGGATACCTAAAAATCACTTTAAGAGTCCTGGTGGGGATTTTGCATGTTCTTCGGTATGATGGTATTTAATTATCCTGAAATTAGGACCGGTATATCAGTACATCCAGTGTACCAACCCAGGACTACTGAAAAACTGAAATACCTTTTTCTTGTCATCTTCAGCGAGCTCCCACTCCAGTCGGGCTTTCTTAGCCTCCCAGTTTGAGGGCAGCTTTAACCTCTTGTCTTCCTCCACGACCTCCTGGTGATTGAGCTTACGTGCTTCATTCTGCAGTGACAAATAACACAAATGACAGGTTTGAGGAGAAGCTGCATGAAAGAAAAAAGGGAAAAAACAAAAATACAATACACCTATAAACCTCTATACCTCATTTCATGGGTCACACCTGGCCCAATTTGATCAAAATGGTTAAGAAAAGTAAGAGTAACACACAGTACTTATCTTTAGAAGATGTTTACAGAGACATCTGCTGTTATAGTACATCAACATATCTACTGTTGGAAACCTACAATTCAATAACCATGTGTTTTGAACTTGTCGTGAAGTCCTACAATTCCCAAAAAAAAGCTCTACCTTGAGTTGCTGTGAACACACCTTTAGAAGTTAAACTTTCAGCAAATAAGCTTTTAAAAAAAAGCGGGGTTTTTTTGTGTTTTTTTTTAAGCTTATTTTGTGGCAAAATTTCAAAGCAGTATTTAGACTTGGCAGGTGATTCTATACATGCGGTCTTTATGCCCTGATTACTCTCCAAGTGCACTGGGGGGCGTTATAATGGCTGCATGGTCCAGAGAATTGCTACTGATACCAGCAGCCCAAGTTTAAGAACATTATTTCCTTACTAGAAGAAAAGTTCTTCTCTTGTAAACAAGAACCAATGAACAGCCTTAGATTTTCTTTTAAAAAACAAATATTCAACAACAGATCTCACTTTATCCACATTAGTCACACCATCACGACACTAGGAGCAGCAGTGTGTTTCATTGAAAAACTGGGTTAGTTAATGACCTTACTGCAACTGCCATCCAGAGGGCCAGTGTCACTTGGTGTTCGCTCGCTCTGTGGTATAGTATCGCTTCCTGTTCCTGCTCAAACACAGTGGTGTTTCTGAGTAGCTTATTTGCTTAGCAGTTTAATTAACAACTT